ACCCTATACATTTTATAGGCAAGGAAATATGAAGACGGAAAGAAGGGGCGTTTTTTCTTTTGCTTTTGGCGCTGAAAACGAATTTGAATGAATGTTATATCGTGTTTTCGCTGACAGAACCGCTGAAATCGTAAAGCTTTTCGGAGACAAAACGACGTCAAGACTGACAGCGGTCTGGTCATAAGCAGTGCACTATCGATCAGAGCAACCCCAAGAGTTGTCAGCTATATAGCTTGAAGGCAAGATGATGAATTATAACTGATTCAAACGTCTTACACAAACTGTATGAAGAACCCACCTGTTCATGCACTTCTTCATCACAAGAATCTTTCGTAGCCTCAGCATACGAGCCGTACTTGAAGCGCATCTTGGGGATGTACTGCTGCTGCACCTTAACAGAGTGCACGATAAAAAACAAATACGCAGCTCCTTTTTAAACTTTAACAATGCCATTTTCAAAGCAATCGTCAGCCTATTCCTTTTAACACGGTTACGTACCAACCTTGCTAACGAACTCTCGGGCATCTAGTGCAGCAGACACAACGGCAATTATGCGTCGCGGATTCCCCACCGCATCGTTCTCCACAACCACAAATGAGGTCCGTGGTATCGCACAACTAACATACGTACCAATGTTCCTTCAAAGCAATGACTGTTAAAGAAAGCAGGAGAACAAATGTTGACTGTGATGATGAAAACAAAAAATGCCCGCCGTATATCAAACACAAATGGTGAATAGGGTGCCACGGTTCTCGAAACTCCAAAAAGTGGGACAAGTTGCCTGTTTCGTTCAAAGTCTATCGATGCCGCGTACGACTGTGTGATACCGGCAAAAAGGGAAAGCCACCAGGGGCACATTCTGGAACGATGATGCAAATAAGTAGTAGTGCCAAGTACGGAGCCCCTTTGCAAAAGTACGGAACGTGACGGACTGAACTTCTTTCACCGTCACCGAATCCTTTGATTCATAACGTACTAACGATTACACTGACAACGCTTGCACTTGGCATCAATCCGTTTGAGACTTTAAAACATCTGTATGACAATATGCATGCGCTCCATGATGTCTAATTATGTAGCACAAGCAGAGTACAAGTTTTCTGCAACCGGCTTTTTCTGGTTATTCGCAACAACTGCCGAAGGACAAAGAAACAAAAAATGAACAGGAATGCACCCAATATCCCGACGAAGTCTGAGTGTATATTTATCACACCAATTGTTTCAGAGTGAAAATTTGAAAAAAAATTGTCTGAATGTTTGTCCACTTTGTACTGAAATCATCAAAGTTATAGCAATAAAAAACCAAAATTAATGCAGTATTCGTTGGAAAATAGTTCGGAATTTCCGGCAAGATTTCTTTGACGACCAGATTTAATCTCTTCGTCGAAAAAATCTAGCTGAAAACCTGATGCTGCACTCATTTTTTTCGATGATGCTGCTAGAGCAAGTAATCACTATCAATGAAATGTATGCATATAACGCACTTGTCGAAAAATCGTTGGCGTCTAATATCGCCAGGAAAAGGAACATTGCACGTCAGCTTCTCTTCCTCGTCTGCAGTTTGATCAATATAACGAAGATTGTTCTGGAAAAAAGCGTTTCAAGAAGCTACTTCAAAAAAGCAAAAGAAAAACATTCATTCTCTCACAACAATTATCCTTGTGCAAACATTTAAAACTTCAACGCTACATTTCTACGGTAAAAACCGGACAGCACCCTCAGCTTACTTTGCTCAGCTACAATTCGCAGCATCACTCTCCAATCACACGGATAGCAACTTTTCCAGTTGTTCCGAGCAACAGCGTCGTCTGGTTGTCCACCTGTTGACTTATCCGTTTTTAAACGTTTCACCGACTGCAGAAAAAAAAACGATGGACTGAATTTTTAACAGATTCGATAAATTCTTACATAATTTTTTTGCAAGAGATACTTGTTAAATAAAAAGTTTAAGTACCAGTAAAACCAGCCCACAAATGATTATTGCGACGCGCACCAGGCAGGCCGGTGAGAAGATGTGTTTTTGCACTATTTCGTCCTGGGGAAAGACCGCCAAAACTTTTACGTGTCCGTATGCAAAACATGGACTTGCGTAACAGCTGATAGCACGTTCCTGAGGTCGCACATGGCCAGGGGATGCACCGGTAAAATTCCAGCATCAGAGCTTGCGTGACTGGCTAGCAGAAATACCCGGACAGACGAACGCGCACATATACAAACACACGCAAACACATATACACAGACAGGGCCGTCGCAATATGGGTTTTTGCTGCCCGTTGTAGCGCTCTAACGTGGTATGGCAAAAAGGCATAAAAACGAGCATAACTGAGTGGGTAGTCATTGTTTTTGTCATACAAGTTCTGCAGACCAGCAATAAGCATTGCTCACATTCAGCGTACAAAATTAGAAGCATTTAAAAACGTCTAAAATGCATAGTTTTTTGCATTACTCAGATGTTCAAAGGGGCAGCAGTTCGGGGCTTCAGTCAACTGTTAATTCAGTAATCATGGTCAAAATCTAACCATAACCACACCATATGAGACGCAACACACTCAGAAGCAGCCACAGCGATAAAAACTGCCAACAGCAACCATCAGCTGGCAAGGGGTCTCCCTCTTCAAAGACTACTGGATCCAAATCAACTAAGTTTTGACCCTCTAGGCACGTGCCCACCCCCTTGAAACCATATCACCTGTTCGTTTGAAAGGCTTAAATATAGAAGGCTATTTGGCTAAACCAACGCACCTACGAAGCTCACAAAAGTGCTACGAAATTTGGATGTAAAACTGTAAAACAGAAATGGTAGCTCATTCCTAAAGACCGACACAGTTGTGTTTTAGGACATGCTGGTTCAGAAGGATAGCTTTGACCATATCTGTACTGATGCACCGATCGACATGGACTGCACCACACTGCATTCTGGGCAAATTGCATCGATGAAAAGCTAGCTCTCAACGAATCATTTCATTGTGTTAGGCTACGTTCAGGATTAAATCATTTCCAACAGAACCAAATATTCTAGGAAAAATGGGAGAACTAAAAGACCGAGAATTCGCTGTTGAACACCACCACGCTGTCCATTCATTTACATTTTCACGCAACAAATATAGGCGGCTCGCTTCTTAATATCAGGAACGATTAACACCCATCATCACAGTAAAACTGTGGGACGCAGCGACTATCAAGGAAGAAATCGTAAGTACCCGTACGCACACAGACTGATATGTCAAGAGACCCTGGTCCGTGACATGATTGAAAGCAATGCATCTAGATGCCAGCTCTTAATTCCTACAGGTCTAAAGTTATTTAACTATTCTGAAGACACAACATACACACACCCACACATGCAAACACACACACACATACGCATATACACACACAAACAAACAAACAAATACGTACAGACATGTCATCACGCGTTTTTTTTTTTTGCTTTTATGTAAAAACGAAAAGAAAATGAGCAGATTAATTTGAAAAGGACTGCAGCAAGAAGCACCATCATATTAGGCCAGCATGTTTCAAGAGAATTACAAAAGTTAGTTCTTGATAATGCATAAGGTAGGAAAATATTGCGAAACGAACGCAAACCCTGATGCAGGAAAATAGAGATTCTAATCGTAAAAAAGTGAATAACAGCAGGCGTTGTGAAAAAGAAATACATTAAAAGAAATGTGGGATGAAAGCTGTGAATTTCAGAGCTGACTTTAATCGCAAACTCCCAGGACTGGTTTAGTTTGTCATAGATTGAGGAGGGTAAAGAAAGAAGGGGAGAGGAAAAAGCAAAGAAGTAGAGAGGGAAAAACGGAGTAAAGATGACACGAAATAAGTCTAGCTAGAAATAAAAAATACTGCAAAAAGACAACAGAATGCAAACCTGGTCCTCATCCATATATGGCCGAATTGTGAAGCAGTTTAATGAAATTGGCAGCACTGTCTGGAACGTCATTAAATCCGCTACGTTGGTGCTTATGCAAAGAACCTTCTGAAGATCGGAGATGAAACCACAAGAAAAAATCCATGGTTCAGCGTCCGGAACATCAACACGCCAAAAACAGTCATGGTCTGAAAAAGAATCAACAAGAAAACATAAAAAAAAAAAAAAAAAAAAAAGGG